AGAAGAAGAAGAAGAAGAAGAAGAAGAAGAAGAAGAAGAAGAAGAAGAAGAAGAAGAAGAAGAAGAAGAAGAAGAAGAAGAAGAAGAAGAGGAGGAGAAAAGAGTGGTTAAAGGGGATGTGACCCTTAAAGATTGGCTTTTGAAATCACCAAACAACAATCTTGGGGATCATCATGCAATGAAAAACCCTACTAAACTACAAGTTTTTGATGCAAGATCACCAATATCATCACACCCCATCATGAGTTCGCCGGAGGTTCGAAACATGGAGTTTTATACACCAAGGATTAGTTTTTCTTCAGAGAATCGATTTGGGACATTAGAGAAGGTTGATGAGAACGAAGAAGAAGAAGAAGATGATGATGATGATGATGATGATGAAAGAGAAGGAGGTTTGAGGTTGACTCCGATATTGAAGAGAAATGGGAATCAAAAGTTGAAGAAGAAGGTTTCTTTTAGGTTTCCTCAAGAGGCTGATATTTTTATTTTTTACTCGCCCAAAGAAAATTTCGAAGATAACTGATATCGACTCTTTTTTTAATCGTGGATGTAATATCAGCTTTTTTCTTCTATGGTCTTGTTTTTTTCTTTTCTTTTCCCAAGAAGGCAATCTTAATAACAATGAAAACATCATGTTGAATAGAAGGAATCAATGTGTTCAAGTTCATATTTTTACATGTTAAATTTTAGGGTTTAGTTACAGATTAAGTCATAATTTTTTAGAATTATGAGTCCTTCAAAAAAATGACTTCAATGTTGTGTTCTTGATACTTTTCTTAATGAATGAAAGAACAGGAGATGGAGGGAAATAGGGAGAAAAACTCGTGTCCTCTAGATACTTGGAAGATAAATGAAAAGAATCTAATGAAAAATAAATGAGTTTCCTCCCAAATAATGGAAGAAAGTGACGGGAGAAAGGATAACTATAAAAATATTATCATTTGATTAGACCCCTATATATATACATATATGTATAGACTTGGGATAATGTGAGACCAAGGCTTTTTCGTGAGACCCGTAAGACCAATTCTCAACCCTTGGATTAGATCTACAATCGTCAAATCTGAACATTAACAAACGCCATGAGACTTCTCAATAATCACAAAATTGTCACCGTGCAATTTTAGACCATTAGATCATTAGCTTATAAAGTTGATCAATGAACGTAAATTGGTCTTACGGGTCTCACGAGAAACTCTTGGTCTCACGTGAACCCAACCCTATATGTATACACACACACACACATATATATATATATGTGTGTGTGTGTGTGTGTTTGTGTGTGTATTTATACATATATATGTATATATACATATATAGGGGAACGATCAAATGCAAACCACTCAATTTGTACAAACCGTGCAAACCGCATTCAATCAATCATAATTTTTCATTTTGTTCATTTTTTTGTAATTATGAGAGGTTGATTAATCACTTTTATTGTGGAGGGTGTTAATCATAGATATTATCATCTTCATTATTTTAATTTTAGAGAAATACATAAAATAGTTTCATTAATGTTAGAGAAATACATGAAACAGTTTCATTAAGTATTATATGAAACAATTTCACAACCATATATGAAACAACTTCATCAAAAAAAATATTATATGAAACAATTTCACAAGATTAAACAATTTAATGAAAATTTTTCATAAGATTAAACAATGAAATCGACAGATGAAGATGGTTTGCACGGTTTACACAAATGAGGACGATTTTCATATAATCACTAATCTACATATATATATATATACATACATATACATATATATATATATATATGCTTTGGTTGGTTTTTATGTTTTTCTTTTGATGGTTGGTAATATGCTTTGGGTTTTCTTGGTGATAAACATGGTTTTGCCGACCTTATAATCGTCCCCACATCCCCTATGCACATGATTTCTTTTTATGGCTGCAAATAATCCACTTTATTTCCAAACAACAAAAGCTTTACAACCAACGGTTTTCATTTCACATCAAATCCAGCTACATTATTATTTTCTTTCATGGAAAGATATTGTTTTAGCAACCCCACTAACATTTGTACTAATCTTCTCCATATACGCCATTTTACTACATAAAATACTTATCATGTGTTTTGTATCTTACCAGATAAGAACCGAAAATCTTACCAAGTAAGATACATGGCAAGAGAACATTTAGTATTTCTTTTGGTAAACCGGTAAATGTATATGTACAGACACCATGAGCACCTCGTCTCCTGGAGATGACAACCAGGAAAATCCAAGTGACCCTTTCGGAGATTCGGAAATTTCCCAGTAAACCCCAAGGAGTTTTGAGCTGAGGACCTACCTTTTATCTGTCAACTGCGCTAGTCCTAAGATTACAATGCGGACAAATGCAATGAACTTCGGAGCAGAAAAGCAGCATTTTTAACACAAAAAAAAACGTCTATTGCTGATGACGATTTACATCGGGTTTATTTTACACACATGAAGATGAAGATTTTTGACACTAAGTTATACCAAAAGTCATCTGCAAACATACCTTGTAGATGCCAAGTAATGTAATCAGAAAAATAAATCAACCGGCGGAATCCATAATCCATTTCCAATTTCTTTGGAGGTCACGTCTTCCTTCCATCATGTGTCCAGGCTTAAGTCGACTCGGTGAACCACACAACCACCACTGAGCGTGCATGCATGCTAACGGATCCACAAGATGCTGAAGCAGAACAGATAAAGAAAATAACATTAGTACCAACAACAAAAGAAAACCAAACCAAACCAAACCAAACCAACCCAAACCAGTAAATCTCATCAGGCACAATCACAGACCCATAAATGTTCTTCAACTTCTAAAAAGTACGGTTTAATTAAAAATGACATTGGTTGTTTGCAACATTCGAATTGTTTTTTTTCCTTCTTTTCTTTTGTAGCTACCAAAAAAAACTTAAAAAAAGAGCAAAAAATATTTGAACCTGCAACCTGCAATGCCACATACAGTGACACTATCATTAAGTTGCAACCACTTTTTGTTAACTTACTGAAGTATACATCAAATTAAAGCGACTGCACCTTTAAAACCCCTGAAAAAATTTCCACTACCATGGGATGATAGAGAGTGTGCAAGGGCACCCCCTAATCCGCTCTCGGCATGAAGACTCGTGGCTTGTAAAACCAAAAATTATAAGAAACAAAGAGAGCAAGCTACAGAGAACGTGCGCAATCAAACAATAGGTACAAAAAAAAAGAAAAGACACAAGGAAACACACAACCGCAATACTGATAACTACTGGTACAACTACGACTAGTAGCAACAACTGCAGCATATTAACGAGTGATCCATTTCAGGGATTAATTTTCGATACAAACCTCTCATTTGTCCCTCAACACGACATAGCTTGGACCGTTGGTTTTCTGTATCTTGGAAATCCTCCTCAGGATATCCGCAAAAGCACTCTTGTCCTGCAATGGCAAGTTTTTTGGTTGGTTGATAATCGGCAAGGCAATGAAAATGATCGCCAAACAAAAAAATGTGATTTGGAGAAAGCAAAATACATGAATATTTTCAACACTAAAACATTTTCCCAATTGTTTTTAACATTTTTTTGTGAACGAGTTGACCATGGCCACCAAAGGCTCCTTCGCTTTGCCGGCTAATAAGGAAAATCTGTATAGGTAACCTTTTCATTGCATGTTGGAAATAATATTTGTTTTCATGACCCAAATCTTTGACTTTCTAGCCATAAAGAAGTGACCTTAAACCCAACAAGTTCTTATGAAACATAAGAAGACACACGAGTTTAAGAAGTAGCTTTCTTCCCTAACTAATCAAAACAAGACTAATTTTTAGGAGCAAGGGTTGATGTACTTTTACAACATCTCATTTTTAGGAGCAAGAGTTTAAGAAGTAGCTTTCGGAAAAAAAGGACTTGTTTCACATGAAAAAAAAATCAAAGTACAGGAACAGGCATTTTCAAGTCAACGCTAAAAAGCATAAATGCACACCTCTTTAGACCGTAGCCTGGATTTAAACTTGGCAACAAGATCCTGTGTGGTGACAGGTGCCTTGTGCAACAGAACTGCCCTAATTTCATCTTCCGTCACAGGTCCAGTAGATGGGGAAACTGCCGGTTTTGAAGATGATGCACCTTTCGTTGGCGCACTACTTTTTGAAGTGGAAACCGGGTCATCCTTCACAGGTTTCACCTCCTGAAACCCACAAACAATAACAAAAGCCAAGTTAGTTCAAAACAAGTTACCTATTTATACTTGGGTTCGGTAATTCTAACCGAAGTGCATTACAAAAGGTTTAGAGCCTAGAAGACAACATATAAATGTGGCTTGAATATGAAACAGAAATTAAGACAAACTTATGAGATGGCACTAGTGTACATTTTCTGTTTTCACTTTCTTTGGAGCTGCACCATTTGCTGGTTTAGCCTCATCACTGCTTTTCCTCTTTCCCTTGGATGACTTGGATGAAGATGGGGTTCCCCGAGCCGACCCTGTAGAAGCTGGCTTTGAGGGGCTACTGTCAACTGGTTCTTCTTTAGGAGGATTGTTACGCTTTGAAGACGCATTGTTAGGCTTTGGTGCAAGAACAGGGGAACTTTCATCTTCAATCTAGTCATAGAAGAAAGAAAGAACCATATTTTCAAAATATATTTCCAATGAAGACGAAATTAAAAAAAAACATGACAAAAACAAAAACAAAAACATAAACAATGGAACTCCCACAGTTAAGCTAGAAGTTTTTAAGCAAGTGCCATTTCGTAATAAATTGTGTCATCACATGATTAAAGGCTCTGAATCTTACTAAATGGATGTAATTACAGGTTGGACATGGTATACAAATACTAATTGACACCCAAATTGATGGGAGAAAAACACCTACAAGCTTGCATAGTTGCATAAGCAAGGCTAGTAGCACATCTTAAGCCTCAACCCATATGCTGAACATCAGAAGCTGGAAACCCAAAATTTTACACACAACTTTATTTGTACCCACCCCAACTAGTTTGCACCAAACGGCTTGATGTAAATGAAAGACAAGGGAGTACCTATGTGACCGATTAGTTGGCATTAATCCATTACTAATTGTTTGCCTTGTTAATTTTAGGGTTTGAATAGGAATGATCCAATAACTCAGATATACCATATAGAAAAGGTTTTAATATATTTCAAGTTGCAAAATATGATGTTACTGATACCTATTATTGCTAATTTGCCAATAGGCGGCAAGTGGAGTCCAGGCTTGTGCAGTTAAGGTCGTTGTCAATGGAAAATACATCAGATAACTAAATCTAGCTTTCTTTTGCCAAACGTGAGTGTTTACATGCAAAACAGGTTGAATCGTATTTCATCTTTAAGCCAAAGATAAAAGCTTAATCATCCAAATATATCTTAGATATATCTTTAGTGGCATGACAAATGTCTTAAAAAAAGGTTAAATTTTAGCACCCAAGCATGTACAAATAGAGCCCTAAATGCATATTAAGATTAAGATTCCCAGAATATTAACTATTGACAAATTAAGGGAAGAAACTTACATCATCATCGTCGTCGTCATCATCCTCTTGTTCTGGTTCTGATTCATTCACCCCATTATTTTTCCCAAGCAGCTTCTTCAACTCCTTTCCAGATTGGCTCAGTCCTCCTTCCTCTTCTTCATTCTCCTCCTCGTCTTCTTCATCCTAGAGGTTATATTGGACGGTCAGTCAAATGTCGCAATAACAAGTTATAAAACAACAGTCTAAAGTCTAAATATATATTAGAACACTAACAAATTTGCCAAGAAAAACAACTACATGGAAAGCAAACACTCCCAGACAGAGAACCTACAAATGCTCGCCTGAAATTAAGTGGATTTGTCTAAATATTGGGTATCAGAGAGAAACTGGCTATCAAACAAGTAATCATCTCTTCTCTAATCAAGTGATGATTGGCATCTAAATTAGGCAGCTACTACTGCTAATCTTCCCATCATTGACCTACTACAAAAGAATCAAATTGCACCGACACTGCTTCAGAACCAGAATACAAAAAACAATTAGTTACTTCCATTGTTTCCATGCCTCTGTCCTGGTTACTTTCAGTGAAAAGGAATGGCTTTCCCTCAAAATGCTGTAGGCTAAAGCACCGATCCAGTTACAACTCTTTGATGTAATTGGAACAAGAATTACACGAATCAACTCACTAGTCGGCTATTGATTTGTTTTATTTCCTTTCAAGCAGGAAACACTCTCCAGAATTCAATTATGACAGAATGAATATTCCAAACTCCCCTTGCTCTATTTAACACTCTCTCACCACCACTACAATTTGTTACAAAGACACAGATCCCTAACTGACTAAGGGATAATGGACACACCACTAACTCATAGAAAAAGACTGAACTACCCTTTGCTCCTCCTAGAGTAAGTATACTTAATCGCCTTTGCATCAATACCCGCCCACCAAAGCTGCACCTTGTCCTCAAGGTGAAAATCAGGAAAACTTTGGTGTGCCAGTTGATAATCTTCCCATGACGATTCAAATGTTGACAGCCTTGCCACTTGATCAACACTTTCAGTTCTCCTCCCGCCTTTACACCACTCTTGGCATTGACATGTTATTTCTAGATGCATCTCTTATCATTTTGTTTTGCACTTGGAGAACCCTAGCTACCTCTAGAAAGTGCTCATAATGAAGCTTCCCATCAATTGACAGTTAAACAACCAGCCTACACATGTTGATTTATAGTTGCCTAGTAGTTGCCATCACAAGGTAAAACTTTTGGTAAAGTTGGTGCAAAACTGTACCTTCCATGCTTGATCCTGCGGTCAAACAGATTCTTTTCAAGCTTCTAGTCAATAACTAACCTAGCCTTACCAATTACAAAGCCATCAGCAAATAGCATATATTTTGATAGGGAATGTTCACATATTTGATTGACAAATCCATCACATGGTACACACTACACAAGGACTTTAAGCATATTTCCATGTAATGCTACAGGTTCACCATGACATCCTTAACCGTGTTACTCATCAAGGCCTTTTTGAAGTTGATGTATTGCCCTCTAGCATCTTTTTCACAACCCACCAACAATACAGTGCTCTTGCGATTCTGCTCAAAGGCCTTCTCCAGGTCATATAAAAATTTTCATATATTTTTGTTCCTCTAAATCTACTGCTCTGAGCTTCGTAAGTATGCAATTTTTCATAGTTAATCAGACAGGAAAGAGAGTCTTAAGATGATACCAGGGACGCCGTTGAAAATAGGGAATCTGGTTACAGTGATCTTCAATTAATGGCAGCAAAAAATAAATCAACTTGGCCCAAGCAGACTCCTAAAATGTAGAAAGTAACTACGATTAGCTACCCTACTGATCATTTAGTACTCACACAGACATAAGAGTAATTCAGCAGCGACCGATAAGGATCTCTAGTTGTAGGATTATACAAGACGGGGCCTTTTTCCAGAAATAAAAGCCAAAGGAATTGCACCCAACAGGGAGATAGCCTAGGTACTCTTTTCTCTATCCTATCATTCATCCCTGCATCTTCGCTAGCACAGATGTATGCTGACTATGTGTGAAAAAGTCTGGTTCATACCAAGTAATTGGTGTTCAATTTCTCCGCCCTAGCCCCATCCAACTCCACCTGATCCCAACAAAAAAGGGAAGGAAAAAAATACCAATCTTTCCTTATCTTTCTCTCTTGGTCCAAACCATAGACGAGAGACGAGACAGAATCAGCTAAACAACCCAAGAAACTTCAAAAATCGACTCAATCATGTATTTGACAGGTCAGAATGACAGAATATATGATCCTAAATCATTATATATTTGACTCCACGATAAGAAATATGATAGAATCCAGAGAAAGTTCATTCAAGATGAACCAATAACAATCAACGCGTACTTGTTAATAGTAGGGGAGCTATTGCTGAGTGCGTGTTAATCGTACTTGAAAGGGAGTGATCGCTTTACTTGCTTGTAATTTATCCTTCAATCCCAAAAAGGAGTACAGAATCGGCCTACTTCCAATAGGTAGCTAGCTCTCCAAGATGCCTAATTCAATCCTAAACTGTCTGATAAAAATTAAGCATGAAAAAGTTCCTAGCAATCAAATCCACCTATAGAACTCCCTAATTATGAAAATACCAAAGTCTCCTTCTGCCCATACAACAGACCAATGCAGGCTTAGACCCATGTGAAAGCCTAACAAGATCCTCATGAAATGAAAAATAACTTGTTTACTGATTTTGACATATTACTTGTTGATCCACTAAACCATGAGTTTAGCGCAGAGAAGCTGAGCCATGTAATATGCACCAAGAAACTGCAAGTAAACAATCCACAGCCCATAAGCTGTCTATCATGCAAACTGATACCTATATGAGTAACAAGTATCAAAACAGATACTTCTACCTTTTCTCTTAACGCCTGTTTTCCTAATTCATAAAACCCATCTACAGGACTTCAGGTTTTAATTTATCATGGCATCTTATCCTAAATATAATAATAATTTATCTGATACATGCTCACAAACATAATAAACAAGACACCTTTCAGTAGCTTAGACATGTTGAGGTTCTCTCTGGACTAGGGATAGAAGGTACAACAGAATATTGGGGACAAACCTAGTTCAGTGAGGATGTTTCGATGCAACGTTGCATACATAAAGTATTTTGCTCTGGATGTTCAGATACGCTACCAAATGATGGATTAATTAAGTGAGGATCTTTTGCTTGGGGAATGGTTTTTAGTTTAAGAAAGTATCTCTCATATCCATCTCTCTGTTGGAATTTCAAGCACTTGCAAGTTTCCATCAATCAATATACCACCGCCTTCTTGCGAATGAAAAAAACTAAGAACAAACCTGCTTAATTTCTGGAGGGGCAGGGATTTCAGGGGCCAAATCTTCCCGTTCCTCAGGATCATTACCGACAGCTTCATCGTCATCTGTGAAAATCTCCTCATGTTCCCAGTCATCACCTGCAACAACAAAGATATGACATAATTTCAGTTCTCATGATGGGCAATACCAACAGCTAATTCATGGGAATCAAGCTTAGTACTTGCCATATCGACAATAATGCTTCACGAATTTTATTGATAAAACGTGTAGAAATAACCTTGCAACGTTCAAAGTGAAGCAATACTATTTAACAAGAAGAGAGTAAAAGGTGAGAGTAAGAAGTAATCACCCTTCTCAATATCATCATCATCAAAATCAAGATCACCACCTCTAGGACCTTCCTCATCATCGTCACCTCCTCTCTTGTTGAGTCCAAGTCTGTTTTTCCGTGCAGACTCTTCATCTTCATCTTCTTCTCCCCGGTCTGACACATTTGCCTCCTCATCCTCAGTGTTGTTCTTTTTACGCCCTCTCCCACCTGCAGCTCCTGCTCCACCAGCTTCCTTGTCATCAAACCTCTCAACTTCACCAAAAGCAGCAGCCCCATTGTTTGCTGCTTTCATCATCCATCTCTGATAACCATCTGCAGTTTTCCTTCTATTTTTTATCTTTTCTTCTGCTTCCTCGAGCGTAAGTTGCTTGTACTGCGCAACTTTGTTGAAGTTGTACCTAAAGATCAAATGCAATAGATTTACATGTGTTATATAAGACTAAGCGGAAGATAGAAATATTAATGTTAACACATACATACCAATGTTAAAAGAAGAAATTGTACATACCATGAACCAGCAGGTATCGCAACAAACTCCTTCCCCTGTAGCATTAGAAGGTAGTATGTTGCCGTCTGTGCACCCTCAAGAACACCCTGATACTGAAATTGCCCAGTTTCATCCTCCAAAAGCCAAGGTTTGTTCTTATATTTCTCCTACACAATTGATTCAAACAGCATATTTGACAACTGGACCAGCCAGGATGCAAGAATGAAGTCCACAAAATTAAAAGCCATACACCTCAAGAACTCATTTTGTAAACATAAAGGTATCTAAAAGCAGAATAGCAAACTGCAGTTATCATCTAGTAAGGCATGCATATGATTTATCTTTGCCTTCTAAATCCAAATCACGCAACCCCACCCATGGCCTATAAAGAGAAGATTTAACAGCCAAGAAAGCATAAGCAATTCATATTTATGCTTAGAAAGTAAATATACCCGTAGGGTATCTGTGATTTGACGTCCTTGTAATCCTTCTTTCTGGAGAGACCACTTGTTGTCATTTTTCTTCTTTGAGAAACTCGGTAAACCAGTCACAAATCTTCCTATGAAGTAATTTTTATCGCTGGCTGAACTTGCACGGACATTATATTCCTGTTTAATAAAATCGAGCAAATACGAACCTATTGTCAGCAAAGCTGGTATAAAAAAAGACAACAAACACAAATACACAATGCTTCTCAAAAGGATTTATCACAATCCACAAACACATTACAGTTGTCATTCTAAATGAAAAGTCTGCATTCCCTTTTCAGGATGTTCCAGCTAAAGAGGCCCCTTTAAAAATAACTGACAAGTGGCAAGTTATATAAAAGTAGTACTTTCAACTTGGAACATTAGATAAAAGGTTTAACATCAAGATTCTAATATTGAAATCAGTCTCAAGGGTGATAACGTACTTTTAGAATTGATGACATGGGATATTGTTACAAGGATTAGCTTGCAACTTGCGAAGGTCGCAAGATATTGTGCAAGTAGAGAGCCTTATATCTCCACATGCTGAAGTTTTTCTTTTGTTTATCATCTATCAGCATGTAGTTAAATGGTTCAAAGGGAGTATGCCCTAGATTTGGTTGATCAACACTCTTACCAACACAAGTTTTAGTCAAACCCACATTTTGAACCATCCAAAACACAAGTCAAAACAGACACTAACTTCTAGAAGTAAATAGCCAGGACATCACTGTTTGTGTGTTTCACAAGTGAATGCTATAACTGAAAATCGTAATAAGCCGGTAACAATATTAGATGCATATAATATAATCCAAATTGAGGGGTCAAAACCAAACTGAACTGGATTAGAAGCACACGCAGAACCACCATGGCCAACCGACCCATCTCAATTTAAAAATAAGAAGTTCGCAAAAAAGCCTTCTGGGATGTTTGAACCAGGACCAAATTAATTTAACTTGCACAAAATGCTCAGCTATACCCATCCCCACACCCACAGGCATGCAAACTAACCGATTAAAAATTTACTTATGGCAAACTCACTTTAGCTGACTAACCGATTAGAAGTTACAGGTGAAAAATAAGACTATCATAATAAAATCCTAAAACGTACAATCCTAGGCCTGTGCATTACATATCAACACTTAGACAGTGAATTAGCAATCCTCAACTACAAATTGCCCATGTTTCAATGATGTCTCCACCTGGTTATAGACTTACCGTGTGTGTCGAATATTAAATTGCAACAACATTAGATAGGCACTAATATGTCTACTATGGTATAAAAATGTTTTAGTTTTTGTAATTGCAGATACACATTAAATGATTAAACAGGAAACAAATGGCTCTAATGTCGCAAACTCAAATTAAAACAAACCCGGATTAAACGAGTGATGGTGGCGCCACAGTCCCGGCACTTATCCTTCCGCTCAGCCATGGTTTTTCCACAAGTCACACAAAGCGTCATGTGCTTACAGTTGCTACCATACAACTCCACCGTCGATCGACAGCCGTCACACGACTGCTTTAGCATCAAATCAAACGACATGTCTTTCCTAAATCCCTGCAAAATCACATTCCTCGATCACAAACTGCGAAATTTGAGGTTAACCAAATCGCCGACAGAAAATTGAAGTAATTAAATGTAATCTAGTCCAAATTCGCAGGCATATAGTCTGATTATAGTAATAAACCTGGTGGATCCGTTAATTTGAAAATCGAATTGAGAATTTCGCTCCTTAGGGTATGGAGTTAAAAAGAAGGTGATTTGGGGAATTTGGAACATAAAACATAAAAACGTCGCAAGTGCCTCGTATTTATACGGGTAAATATCTTTTCGGGTCGAGCTTGATCCGGGTGAATGCGGGTATTTTAGAGCATTTTCAACCCACTATTCATTAAGAAAAGAGTAAATTACGTTTTTAGTCCTTATAGTTTGTTAAAAGTTGTAGATTTTGTTCCTATATTTTTGAAATTACGGATTTCATCCCTATATATTTTCTGGTATTTTTACATTCACAGTGATTTCGTATTCCAAATATTATGTGGTTTTATCTGTGCATCGTCCTTGTGTTTTGGTTTTTTTCTTGTTCCATATATGTGTTCACAATATCTTCACAGCGTTCACAATGTTGATGTGTTCAAATTCATGTGCGAGCCCGTTAATTCATAATATTCATTTCTGCAAGTTCATGTGTTCACAATATGTAAAATGGTATATATTTAGTTATCACGATGTGTTCACAAGTTTTTATTTGACTTATTTTGGTTTTGTATGCGTGCATTTTACGATGGTAAACAAAGAGTGTTTTTTAAAATCCCCAATGTACCTTTACTATTGAATTAGAGTTGATTTTCTAAATATGTTAGGGGTCATTTACCAAATACACGGTAAGTACTTATCGGTAAATTTAACACTATTATTTAATTATCGGGTAAGATTTTAATGCACCAAAACGACATCGCATGTAACAATTTACACGGTAAGCGTTTACCGTGGTAAGAGTCGTTGCTCTCACTTATCGGGTAAGACTCTTGGTCTTTATCTCGCTCTTACCGGGTAAGATTCTTGGTCCGTACCATATTAATCCAGTGAGATAATTTGACTTGATAAGTGCTTACCCCTATAAGCGTTTGGTAAACGACCCCTTAGACTCTATCTTTTAGCCGATTTTTTGTGGTCAAAATTATATTGCGCGGCTTACGAATTGTAGAGTTCTAAAAAAAAGGCCCCTTATCATTGATTGTTTATTAGTTAGGACTAATTATCTATACTTACTATATTATAAAGCATTTAAACTACATTCTTAAAAACTATTTTTCATGCATCAAGTACCCTCTATTAATGCATATTACTTAAAAATTCAATACTACAAGTTGAAGTATAAGTACAACTTATTAAAACTCTATATTTGAATCGTATAATTAACTGCAGATAAACATAATAAATATAAAATAAACACTACGAGATGAAACATTTATTACAAAAGGTTTGAACGTTTGAGGACGAAAGAGAAAATGCTCCGAGGGGAAGTCGATATTTTTCATTCCCCAAGGGGAAAATGTCTGTTCTTCTACTTCCAGTTGATCCTGAAGCAAATCCTTTTTCGACTTCCTTCATGTCTAAGATTTTTTTCTAAAATATTTAAAACTTTTTATATAACTAACCGATAAATACAAGAAAATCCGAAATAAAACTGATGAAGGCCGAGTCCACCAAATAATAAATTCCAACTAACGACTAGTTATAACAAAAATTGTAGTAGTGTAAGTTGGGTCGAATCCACAGAGATTCAGTCTAATGTTATACGACTAGCGAATCAAGTACACGATGAAAAAGTAAAAAAAATAATAATCACGAGGGGGGTGTTGGATTTGATTAATTATTCTAAACATGCGATAAAATATAAATTAAAACAATTGATTAAAGTCTCAACATCGATTCAATACCGGTTAAGATGTTAGTGCCTATCATCGATTCCAAAAAAATGTAAACGGAAAGGACAAGCCCGAATTGGTTTTAATCGTTAACAAGCTCTAACGACCCAAATTTTCCATAGATAATCGTTGATTAAAATAAGCTCTCTAATTAACCTTTAACCACAAATACAAGCTTAAATAAGCTCTTAAACTCATAGGTGCGACTAGCTTTTACCGGACTAGAAAAAATACCAATTCAAAGCCATAAGCTCATAAGCTCGGCTTATCGAGACTTAAATCGCGAGATTTCAAATATTCAATCCGGGAACCTTATTGAAATCAAATGAATACTAGCGTTACTCTATCAAAATTCTAAGACGATTACGTATCTAAAATTTTTGAATAACCATTCCATAAGGGTGTGTTTGGTATGCATACAGGACAGGACATGATAGGACAGTTGTTCAACGTTTGGTAAGACATGACAGGACTGGACAGAATTGGACATAACTGATTAAAATGACCCATTTACCCTCAGTGAGCTGTTTAGTGTTTTTTTACTAAATAATCTATATAAATGTTAACAAATACAGTGTGCAAAGTATAACTTACATCAAACCACTACTGTTTGCAAAAATACATGATTTCATAATCAACTAATGATATATGAAAAGGGTAAATATAATATAAGCATCAAAAATCTATTATCGAAGCAAATCTATATGCATTCCATACTAAGAAAAAAAAACTCCTACCAACAAGCGCACAATCAATTAAAATGGATTAAATATCAAATAATAATAAAAATATTAGCATCAAAAAAACAATTTGGCTAGTGATCCCATATAGTATCATCACATTCACAAAATTTGGATTCCAGAAAACAAAAGAATCACCTATCACTTGTACAATCACTCCTATAAGATCAAAATCGAATAATTACTACTCTGATCAAGGGAAAACATACAAAATTCATCGAAAACAACAAATTGCATGTGTGAACCTTACGCAATACGTTTGACGGTGATAAAATCAAGAAAACAATTTATGTAATTTATTAAATTATAATAGAATAATTATTTTTTATAACAAAATATATCATTTGAAGTTTTCGTCAAAACAATTAAAATGACACAAAATAAAAAGTTTATGTGGTATTCTATTTTTATTTTTATCTTTTTTCTACATTATTTTTATTATTAATATATAATAAATTACATAAATTAATAAAAATATAGAAACCGTATAAAAATAATATTTTGAAAACAGTAAAATGAAAGTTTAAGAAACATAAAATACAATAAATAAAATTTAAAGAATGAATAAAATGTAAAAGAGATACCTATTTGATGTTTTAGAAGAAAATTAAGTTTTATTTTGAGGGTTATATTGGTAAAATATAAGCATGTTTCACCTTGTTCCACCCTGTTCCATGGGGTAAGGGTGGAACAGGCCTGTTTCATGGGGTAAGGGTGGAACAGGCCTGTTCCACTTTGTTCCACTCTGTTTCTGTCTGTTCCACATAAAATTCATGTCAAACATGGGACTGAGATCCTTGTCCTGTTCTGTCATGTCTCTGTCCAATGTACCAAACGCACCCTAAGAGAATTCCAATCAGTTAGCTAAACTAATTGAAAACTCAAATATGATAAACATTAAGTTCAGAAATCAAGAAAAAAAAAACTTGTTCAAACATGTTTACAATGAAATCTCAAAGCAATAACAAGTTAAAACCTAATTAAATCAATGTTGAAATGAATAAATTAGCAACACATGGCTAAACTAGGTTACTGATTCTAAAGGTTTTATGATTTACCGAAATAATCAAGAAGATCGATGAGAAAAGTTGTTGTCCTCCCCAATCGAACCAGACCACTGTTGTCTCCTTCTCGCGTCTTTCCCTTCTCCAATCGAATCAGCCCCTGCCGTCTTCGCTCTCGATTTCTCCCTTTTTTTTCTTTCGAATCAACCCCTCGCGTCTCTTGTAACGAACCAGCCCCTCTCCTCTCCTTCAATCGCGTCCCACGTCTTCTCCGAATCGAACCCCCCACGAACTTGTTGATGTCCTCTTCTCCCTCCAATCGATCCCACAACTTTTGTCGTATGCCTCTTCATCGAATCTGCTTCTGGTCGATCCAAAACGTGGAGAGGATGTGGGCTCTATTTGGGCTTGATTAAGTCCACAAGTTGGGCTTATGCTTTTGTTGGACTTTTAAAAAAAACATAGGTTAAGTAAACATATTTATTCACACAATAATAAAAATAAAAGGCCAAGAAAATATAGCCATAAAAAACACCTCATTTTTATTTTCTAAATTTTGTTTTGTTGTTTGTTTTTCTCGATTTTATTTTACAGAAAAATCTAGAGATATGTTGATTATTATTTTTATCTTAATCTATATATTCATATGGGTTTCAAACTAATGATTATAAGATTCTAATTTTATGGTTTAATTTATTTAATTTACGTTTTATTATAAATTAGATTTAAAATAAAAATATATTTTATTTTAGTTTAATGATGATTTGTTTTATAAAAATAATGATAAATCATTTTGTTAGAGGTCAAAGATCGTTTAATTTAAATGATAATTATATATATATATATATATATATAAAATTAAAAAATAATATACTTTAATACAAAAATGAGGTGATTTATTTCGGATTTTTTGTGTTTATCGGTTAGTTATATGAATAATTTTAAAATCTTAGATATTTTAAGGAAAAAAAATAATTGTTTCATCTTGTAGTGCTTGTCTAGTATTTATTATATTTGTATGTAATTAGTTATATGAATTCAAACTTAAAACTCTAATAAGTTGTATATATTTTTAATCAATCTGTAATCTTGAATTTTAAGTAATATGCATTAAAATAAGTGATATTTAATACATAAAAAGTAATTTTTAAGAGTTTATATTAAATGTTCAATAATATAATATGCAAATTGATTTTTTCAGTTTATAAGATTTTGAAACTCCATTTATATAGACTATCAATTATTAATTAATTGTTTAAAAAATACGTAAAATAATTTGACATGTATACTCATTTATGCTTCTTTGTTATGTCGGTAATGACAACACAATGTCGATAAGAATTCACATATTATTTGTTTTTTTTTACTTTTTAATGAATATATATATATATATATATATGTGTGTGTGTGTGTGTGTGTGTGTAAATAAATACAAATAGTCGATAGATCTTTGTTAAAATATAAATATATGTAAACGGAAAAAATGTAATTTATCATAAAAAATTCAAATTTTATGTATAAAGATAATTAAATTGTTTTGATTTTATTATTTAATATTTTTAAACGTGGATTTTAAAAATATCACACGCCGATTTATATAGGTATAGTTTGGCATATATGCATTATC